GAAATGGTTATGGATGTCAGGTGTCAGTACAGTCTGGAGGCAAGAACAATCTATCTGTCCTTTGGAATTGGTAGCTATTTTCCCCCCTCACTGAAGTTGGCATGATGTCAAATAATGGGAATGGATAATTTCCCTTTAATTGGGGTGTCTGAAGTCTCACTGACTATAATTAATTGGGCTGAACTGTGCTGAACTTTCTGGTTTCTAATGATGTGGCTAGATTATTTATAAGACTGTCTTACTTCAGCATCTCTGTTGAGGTTTGAATTAATGGCAATATGACAAAGAGGATTTATTTTTGTAAGGCAAGAAACTTGGAGAAGACTGGTCCATCAATGAGCAAAACCAGGTAAATTTCATTTCCATTCAAGGCAGTGTTGACTTAGAAGTTAGGGCTGTGACAGTTTTCAAGGTGGACTGTCAGGTGCTTTAGGCATACATCTTCCAGTATTTGTATCTCTGCAGTAAGCTGGAGGAAGGTAAAATGGGGTCAGATGGGCCAGGTTCCCTTCAGTTAGGGAGTCCTCCACAGTTTTCCCTCTGGCTTAGAGACTGGGTCAAAAATATCTTTATTCTGTTATTTCTACTTTTCTGTTTTAAAGTTATATGACTCAGTGTTTCCTACTCATAAATTGATCATTATAAGAATAGCCTGAGAGAATTAGTACAAGTGTGAAGTCATGGTTTCTAGCAATTCTGATTCAGTGGGCCTGGAAGCTACTTATTAAATTCAGGGTTTAGTCAGTTTGGGGACTCTCTGATATCATGGATGTCCCTTACAGATCTTTAGAGTGATGATTTCATACGTATTAGGACTTCTAGTCTTCACAATCAACTTGTGAAGAAAGCATTACTTTTTCCTGGTTTGCAGAAGAAGAAACCAAGGCACAGAGAGAGTTTATAACTGGACCATGGTCCCCTTGCTGTATGTGCTGGAGCCAGGTAGAGTCCCTCTCTACCCCAGGCCTCCTTCTCACATTTTCCAATTCACTCTTATTCTTCCTTTGCCTATACCTCATTTTGCCCAAAACCTCTTGGATTAAATTTTTATATTTGAAAAATATCTTTGGAACAGGTTAATAGTATCATATTCTGACAACTGACTATTAATGTGAGACACAGTGCTTAATAAAAATACAGGGCATGGGCATTTGCAAAGACATGTTGCTTTATTATTATTATTATTATTATTTATAACATAATCAATATATCATAAAACCCATAAAATTTTTGTGTTAGTACAGTGATTTTCTTAGTCTACTCAAAAGTTGTGAAACTGTCACCCCCTATCTAAATCTTCTATATCCAAATCTATCTATATCTTCAGTACCCATTGTACCCATATATCAAAGTGAATAACAGCACTTTCGCTGGAGGCTCAGTGTTTGTTGCTCTGGAGGGCTTTTCCCAGGCAGCAAGATGTCATTTTAATACTATTTGAACTGTCAATTTTCACTACCTTTTTGTCACTAAATTATGCTTTTTAGTGTTCATTCTATTCTACTGCTTTGGGATTCTTATTCTTTACATGTTCGGTATTTGTTGCATATTCCCTGTAATTTGTTACATTCTTTTAGGCTTTATCATCTCTCTCTTTTTAAATTCTAACAGTTCTTTATTGGGGTAGAATTTACATAGAGCAAAATGCACAAAAATCAAGCATACAGCTCAATGAATTTAACATATGTATATATTGTGTAATCACCATCTAGATCAAGATGTAGATCATCTTCCTCCACCCCCCAAAGTTCTGTTTTGTTACTTGCCAGTCAGTATCCATCTTCAAACATAAACACATTCTGAATTCTCACCATAGACTAATTTTGCTTATTCTTACACTTCCTATAAATGGAATGATGCAGTATGTTTTCTTTTGTTCCATGTTTTTTTCCACTGGATAGCGGACTTTGAGAGTCAATCCTAAATTAGCACATGTCAGTCATTTGGTCTTTATGCTGCCAAGAAATATTGTTTTGTGATTACAGCACAATTTGATTATCCAATTTTCTGGTGGACAGTTCTATTTTTGAAATGTTCTGCATAAAGTAACTATGAAGAACCATGTATAATTTTTTGCTCTGCACCCAGTGTGGAGCCCAAAATGGGGCTTGAACTCATGGCCCTGAGATCAAGACCTGAGCTGAGATTTTAGAGTCCTTCAACAAATGGAATGAATCACCTAGGTGGCTCTATGAATTGTTTTTTTGTGGAGGCATCCACTTGTTTCTCCTAGGTACATACACCTAGGAATAAAACGCTTGGCCAAAGAATAGAAACTGGCACAGACTTTCGCAAAGTAGTTGCATCATTTTACATTTCCCGCCAAATTCAGGCCAATTTCAGTTTCTCTACATTCCCACATACCTGGTATTCTCAGTTTGGTTTTCAAATCTTACTAGGAATTTGGATACCTTCTTTTATGAAATGCCTTTTCAAGCCTTCTCTTCATTAATAAACTAGGTTTTTATAATTTTCTATGTGATTTTTGTAAGTTCTTTATATATTGTGGGTAAGATTGTTGTTAGCTACAGGTATTGTAAGTAATTATTCCTGGACAATGGATTATCTTTTCACTTTTTCAATAGTAATTTATGATAAGCTGAAGATTTAATATTTTATAAAATCCAGTTTAATCAATTTTTCATCTATGGTGAGTGCCTTAGTGTTATGTCTAAGAAATCTTTGCCTATGCCTTGATCATGAATATATTTCTACTTTTCTTTCAAAACTTTATAATTTTAGCTTCACAACTCCAACTAACATCAATGTATGGTGTGAAGCAGGTTTTAATATTAACTTATTTTTATGTAGATATTCATTCATTCCAGTTATTTTTAGGGAAAGTCTTTCATTCTAATGATGTGTACTTGTGACTTTATTTAAAATATCAAATAACCGAGGGGTGTCTGATTGGCTCAATAGGTGGAGCATGTGACTTGATTTCAGAGTTGTGGGTTTGAGCCCCATGTTGTGTGTAAAGATTACTTAAAAACAAAATAATTGAAAATTTGGGGTGCCTGGGTGGCTCAGTTGGTTAAACATCTGCCTTCAGCTCAGGTCATGATCCCAGAGTCCTGGAATTGAGCCCTGCATAGACTCCCTGCTGAGCAGGGAGTCTGTTTCTCCCTCTGCCCCTCACCACACTCATGTCCTCTCTCACTTTTTCTGTCTCTACCTCAAATAAATAAAATCTTTTAAAAAATAATTGAAAAAATAAAATTAAAATTTAAAACTTGTGTATGTGCATGAGGAAACTTCTCACTCTACTGTCTCATATTGATATATTTTACATTACATTTGCTTACACTATAATGTATTGCCTTATTTACTGTAACTGTAAGATCAGTTTTGAAATATAGCAAATTTCTACAATTCTCTTGGCTACTCTAGGTACCTTGATTTCCATATACATTTTAGAACTACCTTGTGAATTTCCCACTAAAATGCCTAATCCAGCATGAATCAGAATAATGCTGGTTTGATATTCCAACAACACTGAGTCTTCTAATCTATGAATGTGATATATATATATTTTTTATTTATTTAGAATTCCTTTGATTTGCCTCAGCAATAATTTTCAGGGGTCTTCATTATATGTATTTTTATGGATTTAATGATTGCGGATATGACTCTCTATTGCGTTTACTAAATTTCATTTCCACTTTTTAAAACATTTTTAAAATTTTTTTATAAACATATAATGTATTTTTAGCCCCAGGGGTACAGGTCTGTGAATCGCCAGGTTTACACACTTCACAGCACTCACCATAGTACATACCCTCCCCAATGTCCATAACCCCACCACCCTCTCCCGACCCCCCCCCAGCAACCCTCAGTTTGTTTTGTAAGATTAAGAGTCTCTGATGGCTTGTCTCTCTCTTGATCCCATCTTGTTTCATTTATCCTTTTCCTACCCCCCCAAACCCCCCACGTTGCATCTCCACTTCCTCATATCAGGGAGATCATATGATAGTTGTCTTTCTCCAATTGACTTATTTCACTAAACATAATACCCTCTAGTTCCATCCATGTTGTCGCAAATGGCAAGATTTCATTTCTTTTGATTGCTGCATAGTATTCATATATATATATATATATATATATATACCACATCTTCTTTATCCATTCATCTGTTGATGGTCATCTAGGTTCTTTCCATAGTTTGGCTATTGTGGACATTGCTGCTATAAACATTCGGGTGCATGTGCCTCTTCGGATCACCACGGTTGTATCTTGAGGGTAAATACCCAGTAGTGCGATTGCTGGGTCATAGGGTAGTTCTATTTTCAACTTTTTGAGGAACCTCCATGCAACCACTCATTTCCACTTTTTTAAAATATTTAATTTTCTGGGACACCTGGGTGGCTCAGTGGGATAAAACCTCTGCCTTCGGCTCAGGTCATGATCCCAGGGTCTGGGATCAATCCCCACATTAGGCTCTCTGCTCGGCAGGGAGCCTGCTTCCTCCTGTCTCTGCCTGCCTTTCTGCCTACTTGCGATCTCTGTCTGTCAAATAAATAAATAAAATCTTAAAAAAAAGAAAAGAAAATTTAATTTTCTAAATGCTCACTGCTGATATGGAGAAATACAGTAGATTACATGAATGCTACTGAGGTATAATTTATGTACAGTAACCTGCCTTACTTTAAAGTGTACAATTAAGACTATACTTTGAGGAGGGCATGTGTTATGATGAGCATGGGGTGTTATAGTTAACTAATGAATCATTGAACACTACATCAAAAACTAATTATGTACTATACAGTGGCTAACTGAACATAATAAGAAATAATGAAATAAATCCAATAGGTATTATGTTTTAAAAAAAAGACTGTGTTCGAGGATCATTTCTACAGTTTGTTGCTAGAGAAGTTTTTCTGAACATGTAGAGTACCTGAAACTATGAGGAGGAAGAGGAGTGCTCTCTCCTGAGCCTGAAGCTGTATTTAGGTGTTCTTTCCAAACAGCCAATTATGGGTGCCTGGGTGGCTCAGTTGGTTAAACAACTGCCTTTGGCTCAGGTTGTGATACTGGAGTCCCGAGATCAAGTCCCACATCAGACTCCCTGCTTAGCAGGGAGTCTGCTTCTCCCACTCACCTCTCTCCTCTCATGCTCTCTCTCTCTCTCAAATAAAATCTTTAAACAAACAAACCAAATACAAGAACCAAATAGCCAATTGCCACTGATGATTGTTCTCCTCCTTTGGTGGAGTAAGAGGGAGAGAACACAGTCTAAGTGTTTTCTCAAAAAAATAAAAATTAAACAAGATAAACTGTACAGTCAAATGCATTTTCATAGATGTGCATACAAATGAAGCTAGTGCAGCCTTAGAATTCTTAATCTATCCCTATTACTACATGGATCACCAGTTCAGGCTTTTTTGTTGCTAAGTAAATTAATATATTCTGTCTGTACATTACCTATTAATGGATATCTCTGTAGTTTCCAGGGTTTAGCCACTGTGAATAAAGTTATGGTGAAATTCATGAGCAGATTGTTGTGTGGACATGTTGTATAAATACTTAAGAAAGGAATGTGAACAATCGTTCACATGATTGGCAAATGTTTAACTGTGGTTGAGCTTTTCTAAAAGAGTGGACCATCTTTCATTCCCACAAGTGTAAGAAATTATCAGTTACTTTAAATCCTCACCACATATGTTTTCAGTGTCTGTAATATTAGCCACAGAACTAGATGTGTAATGCTAACTCATTGTAGTGTTAATTGATGCTCCTAAATGATTGAGTGTGCTGTGGAAAACTGACCTTTGTGTTTCACAGCCAAAATATAAGACAAAGATAGAGTTTGGAATAATGAGTAAAAATCGCTTTATTGTTTTCCCGGGCAAAGGAAGCTATAGCTGGCTAAGGCCTTCAAAAATGGTAAGGCTACTATGACTGGAAGAAGGGTTGGGGAGACAACTATAAGGAAATACACAATCTAGTATATTGTGGCAAAAATTATGTATGTGCTACCAACCTTCAAGCACAATGCACAGGCTAGAGTGGCCCACATTCCATCTCTGTTCCTGTCAGATGATCTAGCATAGGTTAGGTGAGCCAAATCCATGCTCCCTCAAAGCTAGGTCTCAGGTGGCAACAGCCATGGCTGCATGTGGCTTGCTTTCCTACCCCATTCCTGAAGAATTCTACAGCATCGGTGAGGTGAGTAAAATGCAGGACCCCCTCAGAGCTCTGCTTTTCCAGCACAGTCCTTTCCACAGCCAGTCTCTCATGGCTAGGTTTTGTGGTCCGGCCTGCAGCTGGAAGCATATATCCACTGTGAGTGTGGAGCCTGGCCCTGAGGCCTGAATTGAGGGCAAGATTCAGGGTGAAGCTCAAGATGAGGCTTTGGTCTTGAGACAGGCTCACCCTGTGGAGGAGGGGCTGTGTGGCTTCTGAGACAAGCTAGTAGCTGCTCCCTTGTGGTTGCCTGAGGCTCGGCTTCCTTTTGCTTTCTTGGAGGATTGGCCTGCACTGCACCCAAATCCCGTCCTTCCTCACACTGTCTATTGGAGTGGAGGGAGGGCTGGTGCCATGGCAAGCAAGGCTCAGGGTGAGACTTGGGGAGACGGGAGGCATGGATCAGATGGCTGTACACAGAAGGGCCCTGAGGTGGGAGTCGAGGGCTGGCATTAGTGTGAGCATCTGAATTCTAGTTTGGCCGCAGCAAATTGCTCCTTGACTTCCTGCTGTGTAATGTCTTCCCTAGACTCGTGGACAGCCACAGCATCCACCAGGGTTGCAAGTGCCAAGCTTTCCTTCTTCGATCTAGCCTCTTTTGCAGGGCCTTCCCCAGGTATCCAATATCCAGGGTCGCCTCACAGATAGGGTTTCAGCTTTGGGGATGGCCACAGCTGGGGCTCCCCTTGGGGCCCTAGTGCCGTCATTGTTAGGGGCCAACTGCATGGAAGTGTACAATCTTTTGGAGAAGGATGAAAGGAGTGCCCTAGGGAAAGTGAAACTCTGGCGTCGGCTTTGGCCTCAGGAGGAGACTCCCATTGTGGCACAGTTTCAGGTGTGGGGCTGTTGTCCAGCCATACAAGGTGGTTGCAAGTGGCACACTTTCCTTCTCTGGGCCTGACTGATGATGAAGCGTAGCTTAGGTGAGCCAAATCCATGCTCCCTCAGAGCTGGGTCATAGGCAGCAGCAGCCATGGCTGCAGGTGGCTGGTTTCCCTGCCATGTTCCTGAGGGACAACCTTTCTCCCTGAGGTGAGTCAAATGCCATACCTCTGGGGGCTCTGTTTCCGGCACACTCCCTACCACAGCCACTCTGGGATTCATCTCATCCCCTGGAGCAGGAAGCATGGGTCTACTGTGAGTGTGGATGCACTCTGAGAGCAGAGGCCTGAAGGGAGGGAGAGTTGGAGAGTGCAGCGCTTGGCTGGGGTGTGGCCTCAAGGACAAGCTCCCCCTGCCCTCATGGGGCAGAGTGGTGTCAGCACCATTCTTTGAGCTCCACCCTGGTGGTTCCCAGAGGAACAGATTCCTTCTTGCTTTCTGGGAGGATGGGTCCTGTGCCAGGCTTGGGTCCCAATTCCCGTCGTTCCTCATGCTGAGGACTCCAGTTGAGAGAGGGCCGGTGCCATGGCAAGGGGTAGGGTGAGAATCAGGGAGATGGGAGGCATGGATCAGAAGGCTGCACGCAGAAGGGCCTTGAGGCCTCAGATGAGGGCTGCCTTCAGGCTCATCATCTTTCTTCCCATTTGGCCTCAAGGAGCTGCTCCCTGTGTTCCTTTCAGAGGGAGGCTTCACTAGAATCGTGGACAGAGGCAACACCCAGCAGGGATGGATGTCGGGCCCGGTTTCCTTCTGTAGCCTGGCCCTATACACCTGCTGTTGATCTTGTGTCCCAAATCCATTGTCGCCTCGGGAACAATTGGCTTCGGGGGTGGTCAGTGCCACATCCGGGGGAGAGTTGAAGTTGGAGCCCCGAGAGCCTGAGGGCACAATTGCATGGAAGTGCAGGGTCTGACCTCCAGCTGAGGGGGGTGCTGGCATGGGGGCGAGCCTCAGGCTTCAAGCTGGGCTTGGGGGCTGCACACCATTGGGTCTGCTTTTCTGGTTTTGGTTTGGCTACCTGAGGTGCAGCAGCTGCTGAGGCTACCTGAGGCACGGTGTCCTCCTGGGTTCTGGCCTGAGCATAGCTACTCAGTGTAGCATCGGTTGGGTAAGCCAAATCCAGGGCTCCCTTGGGGCTAGGCTGTGGGCACAGTCCTTTCCAAGCCAGGGCGATGGAGGCCCATGGCACTGTGGAGACCATTCCCAAGGCCGGAGTGGAGGGTGAGCTGGAGGGTGGGGTGCATGGTTGAGGTGTGGCCTCAGGTTCCCTCAGGCCTCGTGGTGGCCCAAGGGGCAGGGTTTTGGCCAGCACATCACTCTCTGAACCCCACCCTGGTGGTGGCACGCGGGATGGGTTGTTTTGGCCTTCTTCAACAGTTGTGCAGTGTCCCCCTTGTGTTCCAAAGCCTGTCATTCTTCAGGCTTGCATATAAGGCCCTGGGAGAGAAATGGCCCTGCCCCAAGGTAGGATGAGAATCCCAGCGACAATAAGCAGCTCATCCTTGGCAGCGGAGAGACGTGCTCGAGGTGTGATGGAGGCCTAGCAGGAGCGTGACCATCTGCGTTCCAGTGTGGCCTCGGGGAGAGAGATGCTCCTTGTGTTCCTGAAGTTTATAGAGCACCTTCCCTGGAATCATGGTCAGCAGCAATTGCTGCCAGGGTTTGCTAGTCGCACAGTTTCCTTCAGTGCTCTTGCCTATTTAGCATGGCTTCTCCCAGGGATCCAACATCCGTTGTCGCCTCACAACTCTGGATGGGCTTTGGCCAGGGCCCCAGCCCAGTCTTGAGTTTGTGTCATGGCCCCACAGTTGTTCAGGGCCACCTGCATGGCGGCGCAGAGTTCTCTTGGGAGGGCTGCATGGAGGGTCTCCAGGGTCCGGTGTGGCCGGCAGCGGGGGGGGCTCCTGCTGGGGCCGAGTTCCAGGTGAGGGGGGCTTGGAGCCTGCTGTCCAGCCATATGCGGCCTTTGGAAGTGGCCTGCTTTCCTTCTCTGTTCCTGGGGGATGACCCCACCTAGGTTTTGCTGAGCCAAATCAATGCTCCCTCAGGGCGTGGTCTCAGGCAGCAACAGCCATGGCTGCCTGCGGCTTGCTCTCCTGCTGTGTTCCTGAGGAATTGTGCAGCATTGGTGTTGGGAGTCAAACGCAGTACCCCCTCAGGGCACTCTTTTTCTGGCATGTTCCTTTCCACCGCCAGTCTCTCATAGCTAGGTTTTGCGGTCCATCTCACAGCTGGAAGCATGTGTCCACTGTGAGTGTGGAGACCGGCCCAAGGACTGAAGTGAAGCTGAGGTTCTGGGCGCTGCACAAGATGAGGCTTTTGTTTCGAGAGGAGCCCACGTTGTGTTCGAGGGACAGGGTGGCTTCTGGGTCATGCTCGCAGCTCCTCCGTTGACATTGCATGTGTTCAGGTTTTCTTTTGTTTTCTTGCAGGATTTGTTCTGCACCAGTCATGGGTCCCAAAACCCATCCTTAGTCTCATGTTTAAGAAAACTCCTTGGGTGTTCCTAGCACCAGAGTGTCCTTCTTTGTTCGTGGCTGCATATCGTGACATTGTTCCAGGTGTCCAAAATACCTTTTTACTTCACTACTATGGTTCTGGACATGTCACCTCTCCATCCACCCAAAGCATTTACGTGCTGGTCCTTAAGACACCAGAGGAGAAGCACCTAGCATCGAAGAGTCATTAGGGTGAGGCTCATACTTTAGCAGCAGGTTTTGTGGGGAGGGATGGCTCCTACTGTGGCTAAATTTCAGGTTAGTGCCTGGAACCCTCTGGTCCTGCAGCACATTGGGGGTACAGGCCCAACTGTTTCCTGACATGGTCCTTAAGGACGAGTGAGGCGTGGGTTCAGGAGTCATTTCCTGGTGCCCTTAAAAAAGGGTTCTGCCACAGTCAGATCCACAGCCCAGGCTACATTTTGGATTAGGGTCTGGTAATTGTGAGGAGACTCCGCAAATGGGGCATGGACA